CTCAGGGAGCCGTGGCCGCTGGTGGCCAGGGCTCAGGTCAGCGCCAGCACAGGCGCGTTTCCCTGGGGACGTCAGCGCCTTCGCCTGCTTTACTGCGCGGCCCCCCGTGGTCAGCTGAGTCAGACTCCCCGTGCCTGCAAGGTGGAGTCTGCTGTTGCAGCACAACCAGCCCAGCAGGCTGAGGGACTCCTGCGCGTGGCCTCGCGAGTATTCGACATTGGCGTCGGGGAGCTGCTACCGCGAGCTGGCCTGAGGTCGTGGAAACCAGAGGCAGGGGGCTCTGGTGACGTCCTCGTTTGCATTTCGTCAGTGCGGCTGCGGCATCCCACGCCCACTTGGCACGCGCTCCTGGGCGTCTCAGTGTGGGCTCGCGCCTGTGTCCTCCCTTCCCTTGCCCCGCAGGTCTTCTTCCTCATGACGTGAACTTATTCCGTGGGGGAAGCGGGTTGCACTGTTACCTCATTTGGTTACTTTTACTTTTCATAGGAATTTTCAACGAGGGAAGTGCGCTGATGTTTGTAAAAGATCCAGTGGAACTATTTCCAGGAAAAAGTCGGTAAATCACAAGAAAGTTGGAAGATAACGTCTCATTTAAGACTTTAAGCCGGTAAGACCGAGAGAGACAGCAGATGAGGAAGTCCACTCCGGATGCCAGTGGCCTACAGTGAGAGTCACAGAGAAGACACAGAAGGAAAGGGCGGACGCGCCAGCGGAGCAGCTCCCGAGGACGGCCACACGCCCAGAGTGCGCGGGCCCGCACAGTACCCACACGGACAGACGGGCCAAGACACAGATCCAAAATGCGAGAATGCCGATGGCCCAAAGGATACCCAAAAGCCTCCGGGGCAGGGGGCGGGAACCCAGTCCTGCACGAAGCATCAAGCGTGAAACTGGCATTTCTTACACAGCAATGGAACTGTTTCTTAAAGTTTTTTGGTTTAAGATTTATTTATTTATCTGTAGAACTGGGGTGCAGGCCAGATGTGCGGGTGTGGGCGGGTCCCTCAGAGACAGAGTGGGGAGCAGAACAGGCGGATCCACTGAAATCTGCTGCAGAGGGGAGCAGTGGGAGATTGGGGGCCTCCTGCGCCCTGAGGGTCACTCCCTGGCTGGCTGGCACTGAGGCCATCTGGGGGCAGTGCTGAGATGCCCCTAGGCCCCCTCTGGGACTTCTAAGAGAATGGAGCAATGCTTTCAAGACTAGCGACTAAGGGTCTCAATCCAAACCTCCAGGCCCAGCTTGAGCAGCCTGCAGCCTGGGCACAGGGCTCTGCCCCTCCCCTGGCTTAAACTCACTGACGCTCCGGGCTCCCTGCAGCAGCTCGCCACCCACCCGGGAGAGGCCCGCGTGGGGACGGGCCTGGCAGCCGCAGGGGCATCAGGCTTCTGGGCCTCGTGGTGACGGTTGTACTTCAACCTTTTTTCAGTGTTTCTCAGCCTTTTCTCTTTTTGTTATTCCTTCCTGAGGAGTCTTTCTAGGCGTTGATTCTCCTGCCATAAAAAGGTAATGCTACAGGTAGGCAGCAGGTCTTTTAACTGCTTCTTTTTCAATTTTCCCCCTGGACGACCGTGCTCTTATTTGTCTATGGTGACTTTTCATCACAGTAGATCTTGGCGCACCCTTGCTGGGCAAGAGGTGCATATTATTGATAGGCTTGATCTAGACAATCTTCTTAAAACTGAACATGGAGGTAAACGAATTCCCTTTGCTTCCCAAATTCTCTTCCTTCAAACACTGTTGCTTGAATAAAGCATTGGCTGATCTGGTTCTGGAATGCAGGATCTCAAAGTGGGCTGCTTTCGGATATTTATCTCTCTTTAGTGAGCTCGTACAGCCAGTCAGAACTCAGCCTGGCAATTCAATTTGATTTCACTTGAGTGACAAAATGGGTCTAGTGGTTAGTCGTCATGGTTACTGCTATTACTAACTTTGTGGTTTTAGTTAATATTTGACATAGGAAAAGTGCTGCGTATTTAGAATTTGGAAATTGGAAATTCACTTCACAAAACCTAGCTACATTATTTCTTCTGGCGTAAGAACCAGCACGGTGGACTGACTAGTCCTGTGTTTGTTCACGTATATGGAGTTCTTAATGAAGGAAGCGCCTAGGGCGATGGCCTTGGATTTCAGTTCCGCTTAGGAATTACCAACGGACACTGGGTAAACCCAAACTTCAGGGCCCTGACCTAGAAATTCAGATTCTTTATGGATTTGGTATTTCCCAGGAATCTGGACTTCAAACCAGGCTCCTGAGTGGTCTGGTCAGAGGGAGGCTGAACGCGGAACCCACTGCAATACACTGACGTGGGGTTGGATCAGAGATGCTTGGGTTGATTTTCTTTCTTCCTTTAATTATTGCTCAATGACACTCAAGCAGCTCCAAAGGGAATACTTTTAAGAGCTCTCTCAGATAAGTATCTAGGGACCAGTCGCTGAATATATTTCACACACAGAGTTGAGTAGCTCGATCAAGTTCCTGGCTTCTGTCCTGAGCACTGTGAGGCCATCTCATTGCTTCCCAGCTGGATGCTAACCAGAAGAAGATAAATATTTGGGGACTTGGAGATGGTGTTTAAAGTAATATTGTACAGAGGAATGCAGTGTAATAGTGCCTGGAATTTTCTAAATCATCAATCAGAACAATATATTTTAAATGTGTCACAAAGTAGAGCTCTAAATTGTCAATTACACATGCATTTGCTTAGTTATGACCCATGAAATCCTTGTAGAGAGTATTGTTTGTCATTCTTTCTAAGACTCCTTTCTACTGTGTAGATTGTAAAGCCTCAGAATAGATCCGACAGTTAAAAAGCAAAGTAGGCCTGGCCCTCCCTGGTGGCGCAGCGGGTTAAAGCCCAGCACTGAGAAGCTAAAGCCACTTCTCCATGAGTTCGATCCCTGCCTGCCCCGGAGGTGACCACATGGCGTGGCAGACCTCTCCTGACCCGCCCGCTGCTCCCCTCAGCAGTGTACTTCGTCGATCTGCCTATTCTGCTCCCTACTCTGTCTCTGGTGAATCCTCTCACCCTCTGCATCTCTGGCCTGGACCCCAGTTCTGTACGAATAAATAAATCTTAAAAAAAAAAAAGAAAAGTAGGGCTGGTGCCACAATGGACCCGCCCGCTGCGCCCCTCAGCAGTGGACTTCATCCATCTGCCTATTCTGCTCCCCACTCTGTCTCTGGTGAAGCCTCGCACTGCTCCTGCACCTCCTGCCGCTTCCCCATTTACGAAAAACTAGGTGTTTAAAAAAAAAAAAATCTCATTGGCCACAGTATGTTCCACACTGAAGAGGGAGAAAAGCTGAGAAAGAGTCGACACCTCACGTGTTTTATAACTACTGAGCTCTGTTCATCCTTTCGGGAGAGGCAGACCGGGGCTGTAAGAAATCATTTTGTCCTCTTCACACTCCAAATCAGCCTTGGTGGTTTTCTTTGCCTCTCAGCTTGGAGAGAGAAGCTGGCAAAAGCAATGTCTTATGATTACCTCTTTTGCCTGCAGTACTGGGGTCCAGGGCTCACAGGCCTGCAACCCATATAACTGGAGGAGAGGGGAGGGAGCGTGGGTTCCGGCTGCTCTCACAACGCGACAAGCGCCCAGCGAGTTGTCCGAATGTGCACAGCACTGTCATTCCCGCTCTACGCTCTACTCTACGGAGGGACGAGAGGGCTAAGGCGCAGTAACTGCCCCAACCAAGTCACCCAGAAGTAGCTCCACGCTCAGACCACGTGGCTCGGGGCCCGACTTCTTAGTGCTTTCTGGAACGCTCCCCTCCCAACGCCCCTACAAGGTGAGGAACGACACCAAGCGGCACTGTCGCCTGACTCAGGCCTCATCATGGACCCGGCAGCCCAGGACGTGCAAAGCTAATGCTACCGTCGGTTATGTGGCCTCCAGGACGTTTGGAATCTCTTTTTGTATCAGATTTCCCCTTAATTTTAATGTGCTGTGATTTTAATAAATGCTGTCTTGTAATACACAATATTTTAAGCCTCAATCAAAATTCACTCACAAAAAAAGAAAAAAAACCTCAAGTGGAAAACAGATTACAAGATAATTTGATGAAATCGAAACCAGGCCACTATCTGATGACAAGGACACGCCTCAGCGGTGCCGCCTGTTTGCCCAGGAGTGCCGCCTGTCACTTCAGAGGGAGGCAGTCCTCTGGTTGGGCCCTGGGCGGGGCAGTGGTCCATGGCGCTGGTGCCCTCCGCTTTTCCGTGGCTGCTGAGGGCTCCTGGCTGTCTCGTAATTTGTGACTGTGGACCAAACGCGGCAACAGAAAAATGATGTTAATGGAGGAAAGTTTTAAGCACAGAAAATGCCTACAACAAAATGGACACTCTTACCCACACAGTGGGAAATCTTCTGAAAACAGCGGGCTCCTGGGGGCCCCTCAGAGATCTTCCAAGGGCTAGAAGACAACGGTGGTTCTCTATTTGTTCCGAGGCCCGGGGGGCTGGCCCTCCCGCTCTCCTCCCGCCGGACTCACTCTTAGGAGTCAAGTGGTCAAGTGCTATGCGGGCCTGTTTAGGACAGATGGCATGGCTGCAAGCAGAAATAACCTCGGCCACGGGGTACAGCTGAAAAGCACAAGGCCTTACCTAGCGCCGCACTCCACATCCTGGTGTGATCACCCTCCTGGGGCCCTTGGCGGGAGCCGGGGTGCAGCGGCTTGCATTGGGATGCTTCGTGACTTGACACAGATGCTGGCTTGCAAGCACACGGGCAGGGAGATCGCCTTGGCTTCCGCACTCAGGGTTGGAGGCTTCGAAGGAAGCTTCCAGGGAGGCACCAAGGTGTGTTCCCTTCCATCTCATGGCGGTGAAAAAGTGAAGCAAACTCATGCGGGAAGTGAAATGCTTTCTTCAGGACCACCAGGCACAACACAGAAGCCATCGCAGGTCACAGAGGAATAATAAGCACGTTCAAGAGGAGGCTGAGCTGCCTCTAAGATTAGAGGTGGTTCCGGAAACTGCGCGGCTGCCTAACTGAGCGGCATGGTCACCTGCTGGCCTCAGCCAGGTGAGCCCAAGGGGCCACTGGCCGGGAGACAGTGGCGCCTTGGAGGAGGCGGGGCCGTGAGCCTGGATTTGCAGCCCCCGGCCTGCAGATAATGAGACTGGGGAGGCCGCGGAGTCACCGTCCAGAACTTGTGGCTGACGAGCGCGGCACAGGTGTCCTGCTTCCTGTGCGACTCCCTAGACAGGTCTCTGATCCCGTGGGAGCATTTCAGGTCTCACAGGGCAGCCCTGCGAATCCACCTCCTGACACATGTTCGCGCTGGCTTGTCGGTGCTGGGCACCGAGGGGGCTGCGCTCTTGGGGTGTGCCCACTCCTTCCATCAGCAGAGCTGCCCCCAGCTAGACGGGAGAAGGGGCGAAGTGATCGCTGCGGAGCTCCAAGCTTCAAGGCACACGCGTGCCAATGAGACAAAAGCAGGCAGCGGAGTCACTTCTTCTGCGTGGCTTATTCAAAGTTAAAAATAAGTTGGATCAAAAAGGCGGGGGCAGTGCACTGAGCTATGGTGATGGCACACGGGTGAATTGGTGGTGGGAAGCCCACGGGGATTACAACTGAGATGGAAAAGGGCACCAAATGATGTAAAAATAAACTATTATATATTTTTTAAATACTACTAATTTCCTGCTTTCAAATATGGAAGACATAGTAGATTGAAATTTATTTAATGTGAAAATAATCAATTTATTATATAAATAAATGCCTCTATCCCCCGCCCCCCCAATAAGTTGGGAAGGAAAGCCGTCATTTTTGCCATCTTTCATTGCCACAACCATTTAGGAGGCGAGAACAACGAGGCCACAGGACAAGACACGGAGAGACAGCATTGCATTCTGAATTCTGCGCAGAGCTGTTAGGGTTTGGTCAGTGTTTTTCTGGAACCCATCCTAGTTATTGCTTGTAACACTAATGTCTTTCAAAATACTCATGCCCACAGTGACACTTCTCCCAGTGGCGAATGAGCGGGGCTGTCTTTATCCGTGCTTAACATAGGGACGAGAACACAGTACCAAAAAGTTACGTGTATTTCCCAAGTTCCTATTTCCAGGAAAATCCAGGAACTAAAATTCAGGTTGACTTCCAGTTCAGTTTCTTTCTCCAGACATGTTCTTTTGGTTTAACATGAAAAGAAAGCTCCTCTTTGGCCACTGTTTTCTAGCATTCACGGCCTGTTTGCAGTACAGGGCTTCTTCTTTTGCTGATAAGCATCCTTACTCTTTACAGCCCACGAGTCCTTGGACATATCCAGCGCTCGGTAAGTGTTACTAAGAATTAAGAACATGTGACTCACCTTTAGAGGACCAACGCTATTTCAGGTAGAACAAAGAGGCGTTGTGTATACAGAGTTCAAGCCTTGCCCCTTGATCACTGTGTAAGAGCTCTGATCTAACTAACAGATGCCTATCTGAGGTCTGCATCGAATCTGTGCCATCGTCAGAGTTGCTGGCTTACAACACAGGCCTGTTTCTTCACTACAAACTAGGTGTGGTATCTTTAACTACATTTCCATTGATACCTCTTGGATGGTAATTAATCGTTTTAGATTATTGTCATATACCTGGCATGGTTCTGAGCTCCTGACATAGGTAAGCTTTCACAACCTCATAACCATGGTCTCGGTGATATCATAATGCTCATTTTTACACACGAAGAAACTGAAGCTTCAAAAGGTTAAGTACCTTGCCCAAGGTATTGCTGCCAAAACTTAGCTCTGATTCCAGAATCTAAACTATTACTGCGTTTTACCTACCAATTTTTGACTCACACAGCTATATTTTCCAAATTTTCTAAAATGCTCCCCCCCTCATAGCCCCTCACCCCCAGTAGAGACTGTTCAAAAATAAACATAAATAAAAGAAACATTCAGAGGGAGGAAGCTCCCGTTGTCACATGCACTAGCCCTGAGACTGCATCTTCGTGCTGACTTGAAGCTGTAAGCTGTTGCCTATACCCAGCTTTGAAGTTTGTAAAATGGCTCTTGAGTTTTCATTCAGCTTGTATGCCCAGCCTATATGCTTTCTGTGCACCCCAAAGTGCAGCAAAGGAGAAGCATTTCTGAGATGCCTAAAGAGGCAGTCTAGATTATTGGAAGGTATGTTTTAATGGGGGTCGGTGGGCCTGGTCTGCTGCTGATTGACCACGAGCTCACTGTGGCGCACCCAGGGAGGACGAAGGTGTTAGCTTTTGAGTTCTTTTGCCTTTATTCAGTGGGAACTGAGTCTACCAAACCTGGAGTAAGTTCACAAACAAACAAACAAACAAATCCAAGGAATGTCAGGTGGGAAGGGACTGAACAGACAAATCAATTCCCTTCTGAGACCACACTGGGTCCCCAAGTGAACAAGCCCCCCAAGTGTGCTGTGGGGCCATCATCAAGTAATCCCACCTCTGTGGAGGATGAGACCTTCACGAGGCGCTTTCCGTGGGGGGCTCCTGTTTCAGGAGTAGCAAGGGAGACTACTTGGGTTTCTAGCTGCTGCTGTTTATGGCAGGGCGCTTGGCAACTGTGTTTCTCTGTCGCTCAATTTCTTTGACAGGTGGGGCTGGTAATGGTACCTCTCAGCCGGTTGACTCTCACCCCTTAGAGTGAACAGACCCCCTTATTCAGATCTGGATTTCTTTTGTTTTTCGTTTCCCAATGTCAACAGGGAAACCAAACACATTAAGTACTGTCAAATATTTGGAGAGCGAGTGAGGACACCCCCAAGGAACATTATACGGGGTGTCCTGTTTTATCATTAATTACTGACTCACTGCCAACATTTGAAAGAAGCGATCGATTGAGCGATCTTAGGTAGGTGTGTGCAAGGCTGGGGCCTGGGTTTCAGGCAGCCCCTGAGGGTCTTGGAACACCCCGGGAAGTTAAGGTGACCACTGCTTTGAAAGCAATGTTT